TTCTAACTCTTTGAGACCTTCTAGGGGCCTCCTCATTTGGCACATTTTCTGTTTGAGGTTGTTGTTGCTCCCCCTCATGTGTGGCAATAGTTTCTATAGGATCCTGAGGAACAGGTTCCTCATCATCATTCATTGTTGCCACAGGCGGGATAACAACAAGTGCTGGCACCACAGTGTCTTGTACTATCGGTGCAGCAACAGCAGGTAGTGAGAAAATGGCTCATGAATTATCGGAGTAGGTGCATACACCCGCTTCTCTTCAAGGTCAATTTCTCGAGCTACCATGGTCCCCCTCATCATTTCATCCTCTAGGAAGACAGCGTGTCTCGTTTCCACAAACTTTATATGTCTATCTAGACAGTAGAAACGAAAACCTTTTGACTTTTCTAGGTAGCCAATGAAATGACAACTCACTGTTTTAGGATCTAGCTTCCCAATGTTTGGGTTAAACACTTTAGCCTCAGCAGGGCTCCCCCACACACGCAAGTGGTTAAGTGAGGGTACTCTTCCTGTCCACAACTCATATGGTGTTTTGGGCACTGACTTACTTGGTACTCTATTGAGAATATGAATGGCGGTTTTTAACGCCTCCATCCACAAACTCATCGATAAAGTGGAGTAACTTATCATACTGCGCACCATATCCATCAGGGTACGATTACGCCTTTCAGCTACTCCATTCTGCTGAGGTTCGCCCGGTGTGGAATACTGGGCTACTATGCCATTCTCCTGTAAGAACCTTGCAAAAGGTCCAGGAACTTGGCCATATGGGGTATGCCGACCGTAGTACTCCCCCCCCACGGTCAGACCTGACTATCTTAATCTTTAAATCATGCTGATTTTCAACTTCTGCTTTAAATATTTTGAATTTATCCAACGCTTCTGTTCTTTCTTTAATTGGATAAATGTAGCCATAACGGGAGTAATCATCTATGAATGTTATGAATGAATCATAACCATCCACACTTTTCACAGGAAAAGGACCACAAATATCTGTGTGAATAATCTGTAGAATTCCTGCGCTTCGTTTGGCATCTTTCTTAATTTTCTTTATATACTTTCCTTTTATGCAATCTCTATATTGTTCTAAATCTGAGAGCTCTAATGGAGGAAGAATATCATTCTTAACTAGTCTTTCTATTCTCCCCCTTGAAATATGGCCTAAACGATAGTGCCATAATTTCGACAACGCATCGTGAGCTCTCTTTCGTTTTCTGTTTGCATTATTCGATGAGGATACATTCTCATTCACATCACATACGGAATTCACATTTTCACGAAGTGATAACAAATAAATCTCGTCTTGTTGGAAGGCAAGACCAATACATCTATTATTAAACAATATCTGACATTTGCCATTTCCAAAATGGCAATCATAACCATCATGGTCCAACTTTGATACACTAATCAAGTTTCTTTGCAAAGAAGGTACATAAAGAACATCTCTAATAAAAAGTATGAAGCCATCAGCAAGCTCTAGCGGAAGATCGCCAACAGCCTCAACATCTGCTTGTACTCCATTTGCGACTTTAATGAAACTTTCGCTTCTTTGCAAAGTTCTCATCGAACGGGATCCATAGTTGCACCTGAATCAATCCACCAAGTAGATTTTGAAAACTTGACATACAAGGATTCATTTACGAACGTAATAATGTTCTCACCTTTATTTTTCATAATCATCTTTAAGAAATCGGGACAATTCTTCTTATAATGTCCCGTCTTCTTACAGTAGAGACACTGGTCTTTATCCACTGGGAATTGCTTGTTCTGAGACTGTTGCATGGGACCCTTTTCAGATGACTTGGAGGAAGAGCTGTTATTATAGTTCTTTTTCTTATCTTTTAGGTAGTTGACAGTACCATCCTATGAAACTTTTATTCTTTCCTCCTCCTGCACACACATGGCTATGAGCTTTTCTAAATCCCCTTTCTCAGGCTGTATGTTGTAATTAACAACAAAGGTGTCAAATTCTTTTGGCAAAGAAGCAAAAATCAAATGAATAAGAAACTCATCCTTGAGTGCCAAATTCATTGGTTTGAGCTTAGATGCCAAATTGCTCATTCTCAGTATGTGCTCTCTAATGCCACTGCCACCACCAGAGTACCTTTCTGTGACCAGCTGCTTGATCAGCTGGGTTGCATATGTCTTTGAAGAGCCAGTGAACTAACTCTTTATTCTTTCTAGGTACTCTGTGACCGTGTCACAGTCTGGAATTGAGCCCACTATTGCAGGCTCAATTGTATTCTTTATCACAGCCAAACATTTCTTATTGGCTGTGACCCAATTTCTATTTTCAAGGTCAAAAGACATCTTTACGGGAGCAAAGTCCCACTATCTATTCTGCCATGCAGCATCAATCTCATCTGTCTCCCTCACCGGTGCCACAGGTTCTTTGGGACACGGTGTGGTGACTACCCAGTCCACCTCAGCCAATATAAAGGCCAAGTCGATCTTTTTCTTCCATTCAATGTAGTTATCCCCTTTTAGAGTGGGGATCTCTTTGATACAACTCATCAAATTGTATCCGCCTGAAAACACAATTCAAATAGTGTGAGAACACAAATAATGACAATAACAATTGCATGTCTTATTTTCAACGTTGGTTAAAATTAAAATATACAATTGTTCTCTACACTAATTCTACATCACCGTTGGGCAGAAATAGAATTAATGCAAGATAAAACATCATAATATTGCCATTAATCAACGTTGGTCAGAATAACAACAATATTATAATCAATTTAAAACATATCCATTTTCAAAATTAAATTCTCCCGTTGGTTCGAATTTAATAATGAAAATTGCATCTTTAAATACGCAGCGGAAAAACATTCAATTTGATGAATTTTGTCCACAAGGAAAATTTTTCTTTTGAGCCAATTTCCATTTTTCAATTTTCTGGAAAAAGAAAAATGCAAAACCGGACTTAATCTCCTCTATTTTGGCCCAAAACCGCAGAAAACGGCTCGGCCCTTTTCTTTTCGCACGCACAGGCTGCACCCAGGCCGCAACCTGGGCCTGGGCCAGCAAAGTCCGCCCGTCCGCGCGCCCGCCTGGGCCGCGACTTGGCCCATTCTCTCTCGGCCGTTCATCCAGCATCGGACGGTCGCGTGCGCGTTTCGCTCGGAATAAAACCTGACGCCGCGCGCCTCCGAGTGGAAACCCTAAATCATTTCTACATTCGCTCTCTCTCTCTTCGCCTCACTGCTCTCTCTTCTTTCCTCAGTCAGTCACCGAGCGAGCGAGCAATCCACGGCGAGAGCAAGCAGCGAGCCCAGGCGCCGTCGCCGGCCCGCTCGCCTGCGTGCGCGCTCCGCAGCGGGTGAGCGCGCCGCCGTCGAGTGGCCTGACCACGGCGCCATTGTGGCCTGTTCCGGCAAGGAGTGCCCCAAGCCGGCCTTTCTCTTCCCCACGCGCCGGCATGACTGCAGTGCTGCGCAACGGCGAGGTAGGCCACCCCCTTCCCTTTCTTCCCCTTTCTTTTGATTCGTTTGTTCGGATTTCATCCGATTTCCCGATTAGGGTTAGGGTTAGGGTTTGGGATGGCCACTGTTTTTCTTTTTCCCCGATTTGATTTCTTCACGGGTTTGATGTTCGGTTTCCGGATGAAACCATGTAATCATCTCTGTCCCAAAACCCAATCTAGGGTTTGGTTGTATCTGTTCTTCACTTTTCCCGAACCCGAGCTAGGGTTAGGGTTAGAGTTTCATTCATCCGAATCAAAAACTTTTCTCAGATCCGAAAGGATCGAAGTTAGGGTTCAATCGAAGTTAGGGTTCAATCGAACCCTTTGTCGGCCGAAGCCCCTTTCTACTTTCTAAAACCGCACTGGATTTCTAATCATCTTTTCCCTTTTCTAATTGATTCACCCGTTCTAGATCAAAACCCTAGAAAACATGCTCTGGTACCATTGTTAAACTATTCGGATCGTCTAGGTAGGGATCTAGCCGGGGCGCATGATAGATCAAAGACCTACAACTAGTTCTAGTACTACTAGAGGAAAAACAGAGAGGGGTAGTTGAGATCTTAGGACCTGACACCGCGGAAGGGGTAGATCCAGAAGCCTCCATCGGGTTCGCTGTCGTAGGCTGCGCACGGGCAGCGACGGTCGGAGAAGAGTCGGTGAAGTCCGGCGATGGGGTGCGGTGCAGTGAAGCCGACGGTGATGACGGTGGCGTCTTTCCGTCGCTGACTGCGCACCCTTGCTAGATCGGACTTAGGGTTTGTTGGTGGGGCGGATTGGCTCACGGTGAACCTCGTACCTTGAGCCGCCGGCCCCCACCACTTTATATAGCGCAGTGCGACGGGGGCCCACCAACCATGTAGGGTTGGGCGCCACCGATCAGGGCGCGTGACTAAGGCCCAATTAGCCATTGGGCTTATTGGCTGGGAGATCAATCTAACACAAACCTCAACATAGAACAACAGTGTATCTCCAGATCTTGTAGGCCTGGAAACAAATTCTCATCGCTACAACCCTGCCCCTCCATGGATATTTGCAACACCTGGTTGGTTAATTCGGACATTGTAATTCTTCTGAGCTTTCTAAGTGGTTCTGTGCACCAGATGCAGACTTTCGACCTTATGCTCTGTACCCGTGAAATGTGCAGCTCTTGGAGGCTCTGTAACTGATCAAGACGGAGATGTTCAAATCCCACACTGGAGAGCTCCAATTTCACAAGGTTTGGTAACTGATCCAGACGGATATGTTCAAGTACCACACTAGTGAGCTCCAATTTCACAAGGTTTGGGAGTGATGACATCCAAAGAGGGTTATATGCATCATCATATCCCTTTAAGCTAAGTATTTCGAGCGAGTCATAAGGGTGGAGCTTTTTTACATCCAGTGTGGATACTTTATTGTATTTAGAACACACAATATGTAGTTCAATAAGCTGGGGACTACAAATCCTCTCCATAAACATATCGTTTGAATGGACCAAGAGAACAGGGCTCTGCATTTTCAAAGACAACAAGAAACAAAAGGCATGGCCAAATTATCATTTTATATACAGCTGAATATAAGTCATACATATAGACACGCAGAGTAAATTACCTGAGTTATATCTACACTTCCAATGTGTTTTATCTTGTCTTTGTCCTCTCCTGATGTGCAACGTTTGCGGAGTCTGTAGTTGCACTTCTTAAGGACCAGCTTCTCCAAAGCACTGAGGTCTTGAATGGATTGGGGCAATCGCTCGAGTTTGGCAGCATGTACACACAGATCGTGCAGTGATACAAGTTCTCCAAGCCATTCCGGTAAAGCAGAAAAATTCCAACATTCTAGTACCTCTAATTTGCTGAGGAAGAGGCAGCATCGGATGCTATCTGGCAAGGTAGTAAGGTCGATACAGGAATGAATACTCAGTTGCTCCAGATTAACACAGTACTGAAGAAGTTCCCACTTCTCGAGGCCATTCATTTTGTTGATTGTAAACTCTCTCAGTTTCCTAAATAATGGTGTCTTGTCTCCATATATAGCAGCATCAACTTTGGCGACACAAGGCATATTTGAGATGCACAGCTCTTCCAGGTTTGCTAATTTGCCTAATAAAGGGATATGCTCACACAATATCATGTCAGACAGCTCAACTTTCACAAGATTTGGAAGCGAAAAACTTATATCCATCACCCAGGAGCACAATGTACGACTCCTATAGCCTTGTATTCGAAGTGTTTTTAGGGTCCCATGAGGCTGGAGTTTTTCAAGAAGCAGAAAGTCATTAACTATGCTTGAATCCTGTGGCAAACTGCTGCTAGACCACATCAAACTCAGTGACTGCAGTTGCTGATATTGGGACAACTGGCCTTGCCCGCTTACTTCCTCTGCTCTCTCCACATGCTCAAGATTCTGGATAGTTATCTGCTCAATTTTGTAGTCATGGTATTTATATAGAAGGGAGAAGTTATTGGAGCAATTAGTGGCAGAGCCAGTGGCAAAGTGTAGGGGGTGCTCTTCCCCTTGTGTTTCATTCTCTTCCATCTCTTTTTTCCGGTGAACCCAGCGCCTGAGGGGATCTTCCTTCTCTTTATTGTCTCCCTCTTCTTCTAGTGTTTCTAATTCTTCCTCCTCCAGTGCTTCTTTCCAACGTAGCTGCTGCCTGTAGCTGTCAAAAAATAAAAGCGGATTCCTGTACACCCGACTCCGCTTTGGTCTTACGCTAAAAAGAGCCACCTGCGTTGTACCACATTCAGCATTAAAAACTAAATAAACTACTACCAACATTAGTATGCATACGATAGCCATCCGACTCCCATGGTGATATTGGCGATCTTGAACATATACAAAAGCTATCGTGTATGTTAGCAAAATTGAATGACCACACTGAAATTTTTATCCATGTCAGAGTTTTGATTAAATTCGAGTAGATCTTATAATTTCTTAAGAGTATCTAAATATTCGAACATTAAAACTTTGATAAGTAGTCCAACTTAGATATATTTTTTTATCATAATTCAATTAAATAACTCTAATTTTACAACAATTGATGATGCCATTATAGTTAAAATGGAACAACTACATATCATACTGCAACCCAATCAAAATCTTAAAATATTTTATATTCATTACCTAAATAAATTTGAGGAAAGGAGAACAGATTGAATATTTATTTCCAGTATTTGGAAACTCATTCTCTCGTTGCAGCATTAATACATCCTACTTTCAAATTAGATATTTCAGAAATATATAACGCTTGGTTTTGTGCATATCACCAAAATGGAACATTTACACTATGTACAATGCACATGTCGGTTTCGTAGGATTTCGAGTCTGATTACTAATTTATTTTTGGGGAAAATGAATCGACCCAGTCACGCGAATGCTTATGACATGACACTATGTTTTTGTCACGTCACTCCCTCTGATACGACATGAGCACGCCTTGTACGCACCTGCCACCAGTGTGGCAGATTTCCCGAGTCAATGCATGTGGCATGATACCGTTGTTTTGTCGCGACAAGTGGACAGGTATGGCCAAACGGATTATATTTTAAAATACTTTTGAGGGTAGGTTATTTTGAAAATCTATTTTTTAAACGGTAAAAAACACACACACACATATGTGAAGATATTCTTTTGTGGATAAGGACAAACCCTTCATTCAACTTTGTTAATGCTATGGTTTGAAGGGATTAGAGGGATCAAAAGGAATTGAGGAGGATTAATAAATTTCTTATAAGTCAAAATCTCCTTGATCCTCTCGAATCACGTTGGAAAGGGGATTAACTAAACAGGGTCAAAAGATGTGGTTGGTTAATGATTTAATGTGCATAGGACAGAGTGTAAGCTATGCTTTGTTTGGTTAGGACAAGTCTTTTCACAAATGGTTACTCTATTACTATGGGCGTCCTAAAATACAAGGGAATATGAGTTTGTCCAAAGTTAAATTGTCATAAGTTTGACAAAATACCCATTTGATATAAACAAATATCATTATTCGATATGAGTTTGCGGCAGGTCTCTTAGGGAAGCACCAAAGAATAGGGCTTCTAAGCTGACTTTTTTAGTCTGCTCTTGAGGGTTCATCGGAATTTTCTGGTGTCTTGGCCTAGGTGGCATCGAAGAAAGCGCTTGAGATAGGTACATGTGGCAGAAGACTGTGCAGCGTGGGAAAGTTTGAAACACAGCATCGAAAGCCCTGGTGGGGGCCACCAGACTTACCCAGTGACCTCCTAGACCTCTAGGTGTTGATGAACAAAAAGGTTCTATCATCACAAGATTTCCGGTGATGGGCACTATTGCTGCACAGGAGAATGCGTCGTACTGTTGGATTCCAAAGGCTAGTTTCTATGAAGGCCTAGCTCGGGGTGGCCACCAGAAATCTCCAGTGGTTGCACCACCAGGAGCACCGCAGAAAGTGCCATGGGTGATTTGCTAAGATCAATTTTTGATCGTTGGATCTTCATAATATAAGCTCTGGTGAGTATTCTCTGTTGGTCATAGGAGATTTCTGGTGACCACGTAGAAAGTCCACAGGCCCCAACGACTATATTTGTGAGGAGGCTATAAATATGGGGTGTGCTTGGGCTTGCACACCCTTTTGGCCAGTTTAACTGATACACACACTTGGAGAGCTCAAGCAACCTTCCCACTCACTCCCTTGCTTAGAGATTGATCAAAAATGAGTTTCAAAGAGATATAGTGTATTTGCTTAGGGTGTTTGCATCTAGTGGCACTAGTTTATCATTGGGCTGCATATGTCTTGTTACTCTTGGTGGTTGCCACCACTTAGACGGCTTGAAGCTGTGGGGGATCATTGAGCACCTTGTGTTCAATGTTTGGTGGCTCCGATCGAGTTGATTGTGATGGGTATTGTGCTCACCCCCATAGGATTGTGGTGTATAGGCTAATCAAAGTAGTTGCTATTAGGGTCACCTATTTTACCGATCACTTTGCCTTAGTATTGTGATATTGTAGATGAAAGTCTTGGTTTAGTTTTGGTAATTGAGTGACAACCTTAGGTGGACTAGTGTGTTTCATGTGAGATGAATAGGTACTTAGTCCACACAACACTAGGTTGAGCAAAGAATGAAAGCTAAGAGAAGTGATGGCTTGTGCAAGATGCAAGTGCTCAACTAGTGAAGATGAAGGAGCTTATTGAATATGAGACATGACATAGTCTCATATGGCTAGGTGGAGCAGATCAAGGCGAGGCTTGGCTGCAAAGGATAGGTTGCAGGAGTGAAGGGCAAGCTAGAGGCTCGGGTACGATAAACCGTCGAGGCGCTGAAGTGCTAGTAGAGGGATTGAAAGTCGATGGACTGAGGCAATGATGAAGATTAAGCAGGGCTACGATTGATGGACCAATATGGCCATGTGAAGCTATGAAGTGCTTCATATCATTCATGGAGATAATGCCAAATTTTTATTTGTGTTGATATCAAGTGGCTTGATGGAGGAATGATGGAGGAGCTTCATGCTATGGGCAATGGTCAAGGTAGTGAAAGGTCCCTAGTTTGGTTTTGGTAATTGAGTGATAACCTAGGTGGACTAATTAGTGTTTATGTGAGATACACAGGTGATTAGCCCACAAGCAACACTTGTGTGAGCAACACATGCCATGTGTGATTAGTTCACACATGTGATGAAGGAGCTCATTGCATATGAGACATGACATTGAGTCATGTGACTAAGGTGGAGAATATCAAGATGAGGCTTGGCTTGATAGATCGGTTGCAAGCGTGAAGGGCAAGTTAGAGGTTTTGAAGCGATGGACCGCATGGCGGTGAAGCTTGAGCAAGACTTGACGCCGATGGACGAAGGCAACGACGAAGAGCAAGTGAGGTCAAGATCGATGAACCAACAAGGTCACATGATGATATGAAGTGGATCATATCATTGTTGATCAAGGATGGTGCATGTGTTGCATCAACGTTGAAGGAGATGGAATAGAATGCGCAAGGCAAAAGTATAACCTATAGGGCATTTCATTTCATCGGTCATAGGTGTGTATAGAAGTTTATGACCAGGTTTAGGATAGATGGCCGTACTATCAAGAGGGGTAAACTTGTTTGCATATCGGTCATCTAGTGCCACTCGAGTAATCTAACTTTGCATTGTTGCTAGGATCGAGTGGCATGGTGAATTGAGCGATAATCCTTTGAAAAATGATTATAAAATGCTAACACACTTCACATGATGGTGTACACTTGGTGGTGTTAGCACATTTGCAAAGGAGAACAAGTTTGAGTTGAAAAGATTCAACTTGGAGAAGAAAAGGAGAAGTTTAGGGCAACCGAACCCTAGAGTGGTTTGGACTGGACTCTGCCCAGGCGGGTCTTGTGGCAAACCCTAGGTGAAGGGCAGCGTGGCAGTCTTGACTGGACCCTGGCATTTTGGGTGTTCGGACCTTCTTCGCTGAGTTTGATCGGTGACAGCAGAGAGATGCGGTGTTGAAGCTTGGATCGGACCCTGGTGCAGGCCCAGACCGGACGCGACGCTACCCCTGTGCACGTGTCCGGTCAAGCCACATGGTGGCATGAGGTGTGGTGGCGATAGGGCATAGATAGACCAGACTCGATTGCTGGGTCCGGTCGACGGAATCGGACCGGGTCCGGAGCATTTTAGCTTTCTCGGGTGCTCTCTGGACTGTGACCGGACTCAGGTGGAGGCACGTTTGGTCGATCCTCCAACATGTCCGGTCCATAGATGGTGCACGTGATCAAGGTAACCATTGTCTTCCAACGCTCGCCTTTGATTCCAGGTGACGCACGGAGTGATCCGGTGGACTTGACCCATGAATAGTGCAGGGTCCGAACCCTCTGAGGAGAGTCCGGTCTGGACCCCTTGAGTAGGTTTCGGTGCAACAACTCTTTTGAGCCCTTGGGCTATTTAACCAAGCATTGGCCAGCCTTGGGCTGGCTGCTGAGCACCCTCACGCCTTGGTGGCTTGTGTAGGTATGCTTAGGAGCCCTCTAACTCACTTGTGCTTGCAAGAGCTTGATTTGATTGCAAGTGAGTGATTCTAGTGCGTTGCATTGTGAGATTGCATCGAGTGGCACTAGGTGTTTGAGTTGCAAGCCAGTGGTGCTTGTTACTCTTAGAGGTTGCCACCTCCTAGATGGCTTGGTGGTGAGTTCTCCATTGTGAAGTATGTAAGAAGATTGTGCGGTGCTCCAGAGAAGGATTTGTGAGGGGTATTATGCTCGCCCTGTGGGAGCCGTGAAGAGCAACTATAGTAGAGCATGTCACTGAGTTACCTTCACTTCTAGTTAGGTTCTTGCGGTGCCCAATGTGTGGGCTAGGCTTGTGAAATGCCTATTAGCTCGCCGAACAACCAAGTGAACGGTTGACACAATGGGGACTAACTTGTTGGCAAACAAGTAAACCTTGGGATAAACTTCACCGTGCCATCATCTTCCCGTTGGTTTGCGATTCCCATACACAAGCTTGTATTTACTTTCTTATATATTGTGCTTGTGTAGTTGCACTTGTAATTAGTTAGCTTATGTAGCTTGCTAGTTACCTTCTTGCTTGTGTAGCATAGTAGTAGCTCCCTTGCGTAACTAATTTGGCTTGAGTAGCCTCGTTAGTTACTTTGCTTAGTTTGTGTAGCTAAGTATTTTGAGCTCTCTAATTTGGCTTGAGTAGCCTTGTTATTAAGGATTGCTAGTGAGCTTAGGCTTTGTGGTTTTGCATACTAGTTTGTGTAGGAGCTCTCCCGTTGCTTGAGTACTAGTGGCATATGTTTATGTGACCTTGCTCCTAGAATTATTTAGGTGAGCTCTAGCTAGCCTGACACCTTTGTTGCCTAATTAGGATCTTTTTAAGGTGTTTGAGAACTTAGATAGAGGGGTGTAGTCTTGGCTAGACCGATAGTTTTAATTCCACATATATCTCGGTTAGCCGCTGATTTAATTTTTAGAAAGGACTATTCACCCTCCCTCTAGTCCGCCATCTCGACCCTACAGGTAGCTGGTTGCCTACACTCATGGATGACCAATGTTCATCATTTGATGAAGATGAAGGTTGGATGCTTGTGTGGTCTCACCGACATGGAGATGGAATGGAACGGAATGTATAAGCAAAGGTGTATTTGTAGGGCATTTCATTTCACCGGTCTAAGGTTGAGTAGAGAAGTGCTTCTTCAGGTTTAGGATAGATAGACATACTATCAAGATGGGCATTCTTGTTAGCTAATCGGTTAACTTGTGCTACTAGGTGAGATCTAACACATGGTGCATTTAAATCAAGTGATGAGCAAAGGAACAAGATCAAAACCTTTGAAAATACTTTAGAAAATGCTAACTTAGTGCTAAAGGAGTTGTTGTCACGTTGATCAACATTTGTGGAGTTAGCATATTTGAAAATGGGTTTCAAACAGAGCTCGGAGGAGTGTCTTTGTAGGCAGTAGAATAGTCTAATGCTGGTCTGCAGAGACCATCGAAGAAAGTAGTTAGTGTCCTACCCTGTGTTATTTACTATGTTGGGGAGGCACTGGATTTCCTATGGTGCTGGCTTGCACCGCATCGGAGAATGTGGTCCCTAGGTTGATACGTGGTGGAGAATTCAAATGATTAGGGCGCCTTCTCCAGTGCCAGGCTTTGGAGTTTTCTAGTGAGGGGCTGAACCCCTCAGCTTGCCTAGCAAATAGATTATGGGGCCACTGACAAGTCCGGTGGTTGCCTAGTTGTCTCCATCAGAGAAAGCGATCACCATGGCTAGTTTAACAGAGAGCACGTAGGCCTCACTGGATTAGTTCAGTGGGCACCGGATAAAAGGAGCTCCAATGGTCAAGTGACCGTTTAAACGTGACCATTGGATGACTGATAGGTGTCAGACCCTTTTCTCTAGTGGTCTTCTCCGGTGGTTCAACGTAATTTCCGGTGCTCCCAAAAAAACTGCAACAAGGCTGCAACCGCTAGTTTGGCTTGTGGGCTTATAAATAGAGGGGTGGCTGGCTCATTTTGTGCTTGCTAGAGCCAAGGGGTCACACCCACATCTAAAGGAGCCAAAGTTAGACCTCTACTCACATATTCATAGTTGAGATTGCGATTCGTGGTGAGATTGGAGTGATCTAGTGCATTTACTTGAGAGAGATAACACCTAGTGGCACTATGGGCTAGTTAGCAAGCTTGAGGGCTTGTTACTCTTGGAGACTGCCACCTCCTAGACGGCTCTGTGGCAAGAGACTCCGTTGAAGCATGCAAGAAGGTGAGCGGTGCTCCGAAGAGAGCAATTGTAAGGGCTCTTGTGCTCATCCCCTCGAGAGATCACGAAGAGCAACTCTAGTAGAAGCGAGGTGTGAAAAGCGCCAAGTGGTCCGGGCGGGTCAAGTGCTAGCACTCACATTGGGAGCTCACCTTGAGGGCGAATTGCAAGCTTTAGTGTTTAATACCTAGCAAGAGGGCCCGCACCAACCTTGGGCTTGCCTCAACGGGGACACCAAACATCAAGATAAAAATCATTATGTCAACATTTGTATCCCGCTCAGTTTGCATCCTTTAAACACTAGCTATTTACTTGCAATATCTTGTGCTAGTGTTGTTGCTCTCTAGTGCTTGTGTAGCTCTAGTAGTAGTGCTAGTGTAGTGCTTACTAGTGTAGCTAGTTTTAGTGTTTATCTTTGCTCGCTAGTATGTGTAGGAGCTCCCATGTGCTTGCTTGAGTTTAGTTGCTTAGTTTTGTGTGACCTTACAAAACTAGACTTGTGTAAGTGAGCTCTCACTAGTTCGGCACCTTAGTTATACCTTGTGTAGGATTTTTTATAAGGTGCTTGAAATATTAGACGATAGAGGAGTGAAGTTATGGCTAGACGATTAGTTAATTCCATATTTGTTTTGGCTAGCCTAGCGATTAGTTTTAGAAACGTGTTTGGAGTTTAGTTGGGTGAATAAAACCAGTAAGAAACATGCAGGAAGAATGAATGAAAAAATGATACCCATTGCAACGCACGTGTATGATTGCTAGTTTAAATTAAAGATTGAACTTGCACATAGATAATAAAATATTTTTTTGCATGTATACCTGCTTTAACTATTTGAGATTAAAACGAATTGAACTTTATCGAGAGCCCTTTTGCATACCGTCGAATCTTAAATGGTCTTAAATGGATGTTGTCCGATTGAGTAATCCTGAATCACATGTTGCAGTGAACTGCTGGAACAGGCAGGTATGGTACAACAGGCGGCAATAGTGCCATTGGATATGCAGGGAGCTAATGTACTCCACAATGTTGTGCTGCCAGAAAACTAAAAATGAGCCCCTACATTAAAAAAGGAGTCGCTCTTCCCATGCCACAGCATGAGGCATCACTCCTAGACTAACCATGTGTTTGTTTTCTCTCTCCATGTTTCTTCAGCACGCATGTTCCAACTCCTCTTTTTCCATTATCTAAAAAAAATGTTCCAACTCCTCTGCTTGCTATGTACTGCATGAGTTAGAACCCAAGCCTAGACTTACATTGTTCCCATTTTTTTTTTCAACGCCACTTGAATTTAGCATCACGTGTTGTAGTGGTGAAAGTGATGCCTAAAACACTATCTCTCGGCTTTAGGCATCATTGGAGACACAGACTGTGGAGGGTCTAAGGACAAGGAGGGCTGTCATTCCATAAGGTGGGGTCAATGCCTCGGTCGTCTAGGGGAAGTCAAGAGGGAAAAAAGAAGATGATGCTCTGTCAATGAACTTGCATGCGACAACTGCAGTTGCAGCCGCAAGTAGGGCAGTCGAGCAGAGCTAAACATACTCTTGCCACCATGGCCTACATGGAGAGGAGTAGCTTTTGGCAATCACATACTCACATCCATACATTTATTTCGACACTTTTCCTAAAAGGCATGCACCTGAAATCTGCTTTTGGTTTAGGTGACGACGTCATCCTTTGATCTTGCTTCAAGATTCGTACATCATTTGTGTCAATTCAGGTCATAATTTTGTAATTGTCTTACTATAGAGAGAATCTTTTATTGTTAATTGTCTTTATGTCGATTTAGATCATAATTTTGTAATTGTCTTACTATAGAAAGAATTGTTTATTGTTAGTTTTCTTTGTGTGAATTTAGACCCGTTAGATCTTCATCTGATGGCTCACAGCCATTGCCTGAATGGATGTTATTTTTCAGGCACCTGGAAAATAGCAAATCCCTTATTTCGAAACTTGTTTGGGGCTTTTGATTTTAAAATATTTTCATACTGTTAAAATTAACCTAAACCTTCTAAAATACATTGCAAGTATGGTTCATGTTAGGACTCATCAAATGTGGTCTTAATTTGGGTCAGGCCCGAAACTGGCCTGTTACTAATGAAGTAATGATAGGTAATACGATCCACTTAGTTTTCTTAGAGGTGGGGCAGTGCCAAATGGTGTACAAATTACCCTCAAATTTTAAGTATTTGGTTAGGGAAAATTCTCAATAAAGAAACAAAAAATTAATCTGAGAAGGATACGAAATTGGATAGGAAAACAATCTGTAACAAACTAGGATACTTAAACACACAAATTGGTCAGGCTGTTCTCTGCTTTGTTTAGAAATTGCTTGTGTGTAAGCAATGATGCTACATAATTCTACCTGCTCTTGTTAAGTTGAAACACAAAATTAGGTTAAGATGTTATGATGCAGAAACGGACCAGATCTTGTCTTGGGCTGCTATTAGACAATTTCTTTGAGCCTTGGCGTCGCCTATGGAAGTCGTGGGCCCCGGCCAAATGCAAAATGTTTCTGTGGTTGGCAATACGAAACTGGTGTTGGACAGAAGATAGGCTTTGCTAAGAGGAGCCCTCTCTCATCCAAAATAGATGAGACCATACAACACCTTTTAACATGTGTTGTGGCAAGATAGGTATATATGGTTCAGATTGCTCAAGAGTTGGACCTAACAGATTTAGTACCCCGACAAAACGAAATGAGCTTTGTAGATTGGTGGCATAACACGATAAGAAGAGTTAAAAAGGAGCACAAAAAGGAGTGAACACTCTAATTATGCTCGACGCCTGGATTATTTGGAAATATAGAAATGCTCGTGTGTTTGAGGAGGCTTCTCCTTGGGTTAACACGATTTTGTGTGAGCTGAAGGACCGTAGCACAGCTTATGGTGCATGGTTAGTGCAAAGAAACTGCATGGGCTAGGTCTTACTTTTGCAATATAGGGCAGTTGGGTAGGTTGAGTCGTGTGTGTTCGCTATGTGCAAGAGTTCTGAGTTTGTATAATTGTCTTACTCATATTTAGTCCTCGTATGAGTGTGGATCCTATTGAGGACCACTCCATCTCTCTAATACAATGAAACAAAAATGAATAGAAAAAAAGGATTTTCTAAGAAAAAGAAATATAGGCGACTTACCTCTCTTGTATTGACATATGGAATATGATGAACGGAAAGTTTTTGAATAATGTTGTTTGTTTCTTCTTCTGGTGGAAATTCAAGAGACGGTATAGTCAGTTTTTCGAATTTGGTCATTTTGCACAGAGTTGACTCCAAGTCATTATCAATGGTGTTAAAGCCATCCAATTCTAGCTCCTGTATAGATGTGAACAGAAGCAACAGCCGACGAATAAGACTACTTTTGCAGTCTGTTATCTTGAGTTTCCGAAGGGTTCCAGAACCAGACTCCCATTTGCACGTCCTGGAACGGAACTCCTGTCCATACCCATACCTTCTGGAAAGAGACCCATGTTCCTCCATTTGCTTGTTGAAATGGAACCCCCGTCCGTACCTTCCCCAAGGGAACTCCATTTCCTCGTTATGGAACCCTCGTCCGTACCTTCTCCGAGAGAACTCCATTTCCTCGTCAGAAGAATCCAGCATGCCAATGATAATTAGTTCATCCATGTTGTTCTCTGTAACTTCCATCCATTGCTCAACGTCATCTAGCGAACACCCATTAATACAAATTTTTGATTTGAGTGTGGGAGTCCAATGCAACATACCATGCACATCTAGACCAAGGCTGGGGCTGCTACCCTTGATGAAGTACTCTTTACACAGTGGGACATATGGAAAGAGTTTTAGTTGCTTGCAGCTTTCTATTTTCAAATAATCAAGCACAGGGACTGCTAGTTGTTCTCTTCTTTCTTCATTAGATGGGCCTGGGGGTAGTGCCGGCCTGCTTGTAACTGCCGATGAGCCATTTCCAGAACCAATGTCCTGCGTTCTCTTTATTTCTCTCGGCATGCCATGCCATAGAGCTTTCAGTTTCAGAAAACCCTTACACTTTCTTTTCACTGGTTTACCTACAGGAAGAGAAGGGGGTAATTTGTCAATCTCCTTTCCTGTTTCTATCTCTTCCTCATCACGGTTATGAATTAATCCCACCTCATTGACTTGTGCTTGTGTGTTGTCATCATAAAATATATGTATAGTGGCGTTGACTCGCAGTCTAACCAATGTCAATTTTCTTAGCTTCTTGCATGATACAATTTCCACATGATGAAGCAGGGGCATATTATTAATTTCCAGTTCCTGTAGATTTGGTAAATGTTCCAGTGTAGGAATATGATCACATCCATTGAGTTCGGAGAATACAATTTTCACCAGATACGGAAGTGTATCACTTATCTCATTAATCCATTTGGGAAATCCGTCACCATTGTAGCCTTTTATAGAGAGGCGCCTTAAATTTTGATGGGGCCTCAAATGTTCCAGCACTGCCTTGGCCTGAGCTCGATGCTCACCCTCAATAGAAGATCCTGTATAGCACCATTCAAGACTCAAGAAATGAAGTTGTTGCTTCCTGCTCAGTTCCACTTGCTTTGCTTCCTCTGGTGAAACCACATTCTCAAGGCATTTGATGTTTAGCTGATGTTGTGTGAGATCCAGGATGTGCTGGAGAAGCATAATATTGCTGTGGTTGTCACCGGGTTGTGTCCGTACATCAAAATTGGGCAAGGTTAGAAGGTCTACTAATCTTGCAATGCCTTGCTCCGAGAAGAGTGTGAACCCTCCAACTGACAGGTACCTAAGATGAACCAAATGTTGGGTGATGATATGCTCGTGCAGCATACATAGCTGTAGTTGTTTATTGTGATCTTCTGAACTCTCTGCATTTCCCGCAGAGGTTCCGGGAGCTTCAGAATATGCTTTTGCACCCACCCCAGTGAGATTTAGGTACTCCAACTTATTACCTAATTTCCAGTGCGGAATCAAATTTAGAAAGTTCTGAATTCGAGAACAACCTGATAGATTTAAACACCGGAGCTCAAAAAGACTAGTACAGGTATCCGGAAGGGCAGCCAGATTAGTACAATCTGATAAGTCCAGAATCTCCAACATCTGACAGCTAGCATCATTCTCACAAACTTCAGGAAGAACTTCAAGAGAGGTACAGCCAGACAAATTCAAGACTAGAAGCTTCTTCATGCGCTTAAATAACCCACTAGGCAGTTCTTTCAACTGGTGGCAGAAGGACATATTTAGATGTATCATATTTGTAAGGCAATTGAAAGAATCTGGCAGCCCATGAAGTTCGGAACAATGCAATAGATTGAGAAACGAAAGACTCCGAAGGCCACCAAAATATTGAGGCAGCGTTTGAAGCTGAGAACAATGTGAAAGGTCGAGGAATGCAAGTTTCCGAAGCTCCCCAAACTCTTCAGGCAGCGATTGTAGGCTACCACATCTTGATACGTTCAGGTGTAGTAGCTCTTTGAGTTTATGAATGCCATGTGGCAGCTCTTTAAGATTTGAGCAGCCATGTAGGTCCAAATATTGTAGGTTGACAAATTCAGAAATGTAACTGGGAAGTTCAACAAGGAAAGTATTTTCAGAAAGGTTCAATGCTTGTAAACCATGCAATGAGCTCAGGGACTCCGGCAGCTGGCCAGTTTGCATTCCAGATATATTCAAGAACTTCAGCAGTCTCAAGTTGCCGATAGAATCAGGTAGACTGGAAATAGTACATGCACTCAAATCCAGCACACGTAAGAATTCAGCTCTCATCAAAGAAATTAAACTAGACTGACCAATGCTGCACTTATTAAAATGAAGAGCCCTTGCTGTGCTAGGTGTAGACAAATAATCTGGCCGCGATGAGTCACGTAAGTTCGAGATCAACATGTATCGACAATTATTGTCTGTATTACCAGTAACATTTTGTTGACTGTTAGCATCAATGGAAACAACTTCTTCATCCGCAACTAATCTTGCAAGCTCATGAACCAAATCGTTCATCTGGAATAATACACCTCGAGGTTTGTTATACCTTGCAAACAGCTGAAAAGTGAAATTGTACCCATCTTAGTCAACTACCTTACCTCAGTTTAGCATCGATTAAATGGCATGATAGCATGTACGGATTATTATAGAAAACAAAGCTAAACAATAATTGAGAAAGAACTATACAAAGAAAAAGGTGCTCACTAGATCCTCCATTTGTTCCGGAATATAGGTCGTCCTAGTTTTGACCTAACTCCCAAGTCAAAATAAATGCAAAATAAAAAATTATTTAATGCTGAATTTAATGAAAATAATTTGACATAATATACATTGGTGCATTTTCATAACTTGGACATCCGATTTGTCCAAATTAGATTTATTTGAGTCGGTTTGGTTTGGTTAAGGACATGGTTTCGCTATCACATGGACTGGATCAATCTATTACTATGCCTTCTACCTTTATCCTCCTCTACCCTACTTTCCAATGCAGATCTGATGTTTATCTCTTGATATTGATGACCAGAGCTGGCACATGCTTGTTGACTAACCTAGGGGCCCTGGGCAAGGCACAAGCCTTTATATATGGAGTCTCTCGTGGGCGAGAGCTTTGATGGTGTTGATGGTCAAAAATTGACATAGTAGACATATTTAAGCTTAACAATTTTGTTTGGCAAAAGACATGGAGCTGTAGCCGCTATGAGCTTGGAGGCCATATTTTCTGGTGTTTGAAGGGCTCGGTCTATTATGCTGCAAATATTTTGTGAAGTCAAATACAGGTCCAGGAGTATCATGCTTGAGTATGTATGGATGAATGACAAACCAGGAGATGGAGAAGGCAGATGCTTTCTTTGCGCAGCTTGAGTTTTGGTTATTAATGTTGCTGGCCAAAATAGGAGGCTTTGCATGCACGTGTCCTACTTTAGCGCGCTCATCGCCGGGAGCACACGGTGACATGTCCTAGGTATCGCGCTCATCGCCAGGGGTAGACGGTGACGTGTTCATGCGTGAACAGATGGTCTTTTCTACTTTTCTTCGTCTGTCACCACGAAGTGCAATAGCTAGCATTTGCTTGTTTGCTAGTAAACTAGACGTCCATCACCTTGAAAGTGTGATAGTTGTCCCTCACTCCCTCCTGAGCAGATATTCTACCAGTGATTAGCTCGTGAAAACTAGAGAATTTTGTTCCAGAAAGGGAACAACTGGAAATTTGGAAACTAGAGTATCTGGTTTGAAACTGGAACTAACCTTGCGTTTTTTTGGAAATGGTGATTTTCCTATTGCATCATTTTTGGATTCTGACAAATGTCACTATGGGTTGCACATACAGTGCTTGGTGTGTACGACATGTTTCGTGTCAACAAGTTTATATATATATCGTTTCGTGTTGTTACTAGGTTCCTTTGATTTGGTCATTCAGTCGTTGTTCTTTTTTCCATGGAGTAGAAAAGATGGATGTAGTTTTCCCCTCAAAGTAAACCATTTCATAACGTATTCCCCACGGATATTATAATCAAAGGTATGATCTTTGTTTTATTCAGTTCAAATGTCAATGCTTCCTACTCCTATGCTAATCCTCTCCGCGTAGTCGAGAACGCCATGCTATGCTCCATGAGTCCGTGTAACACCCTAAAATTTGCTTATTTGGAAATAGAGCAAAAATGATTTAATTTGGAATTTTTGTGCTCATGAAACATAGGGAAATAATAATTTTTCATTCAATTAAAATTCATCATAGGGTTAGCAACCTTGTTGATGCATTCATGCTGGTTCATATGTTTTATTGTGATGCGTGGTTTTGATCTAAACCCAAAATGAATTCAAATTGCTTTTGAAATGATTTGAAAGTGCTTTGAAATAAAAGAATAGAAAAGAAAAAGAAAAAGGAATTTCTTTCCCTCCCTCACTCTCCCTCTCTTTTGGCCCACTCGGTTTTCCAATCTCTGCAGGCCCAGCTCCACTCCCGCGGCCCGCGTTAGCAGGCCGGCCCAGCAAGCCGTGTGGGCGCTCCCCTCGTCTCTCTCTGTCTGGCTGACACCGTGGCCTCACGCCCTATGTCACTGCCACTCTGGGCCCGCTTGTTAGCGGTGTCCTCCACCTCCAGCTCGTGCTCGAGCCGGACACCTCCCGATGGAATCCGCCGCCGCCTCTCCCGAATTCCTCGCATTTTGGCATGCGCCCCACGCCGAGCCCCTTATATAAGCCGAGTGTCGGTACCGTGTTGCCCTCATCTCAAACCCTAGCTCGTGCAGCCTCAATTCGAGCTCGCAGCGCCGCGGCAAGCCCTAACCCGCCGCCGTCGAACTCGCCTCGCGATTCCGCCACTTCAACACAGCCGTAAGTACTTCACCGAGCTTCGCGTAGGTCTTGAGAAGCCGCTGAGCCCACCGCTCCTTCTTCTTTTGCTCGCGGTTCGTCACTTATTGTTGCCGACGTGTGCAAGATCCTGCCGCACGCTGCCCTCGTTCGATCTTCGTCGACGAATTCACCCTTGGTGAGTTCGCCTTGGTCCCCTCTATCTCCCCGTACTTTTCCGCATCGAATCGTGGCCCGTAGGCCTTGATTCATGTGCGTCGGCGAGGTTTTCGCCACCGGCGATGGTGGACCACCGCGCCCATACCTGTTCCGATCGATTTCTCTGATCTGAGTCGTCCAATTTAGATCCAATGGCTCAGAGTCAACCATACCCCTTCGCTGCTACTTTTTCTAAAGAGACCTTCTGTTTTATCTAAATATAACCCTAAGTCCCTGATCCCAATTTAAAATCTGTTTTTATTTATTTTAATTTGAAATTAAGTTCGGTTTATTTACAAAACTACCACTGACCTTGTTTTATGCACAAAATCTTCGTTTAAACTCTGTTTTGACCAGTTCAAGTTGCGTTAGATTCGTAATGACATGATCTACGTGTTAGTAATGTTGTTTAGCATGTTTTGCGCTTTCAAATAAAATATTAATCTGATCAATCTATATGCAATTAGTTTCCCATTAAACAATTTAGGTTTTCCACCTCGATCTTTTCTAAATAATAAAAAAAGATTAGTTTTATTTTGGTTTTTCAAATCAAATATAATTTGACCTAATTCAATCCAGCTATTTTTCTGAACTATCTTATACATGATTTATTTAAAAAAAACAAAGCATATAGTTTTCTTTTCATCTATCAAATAATCTTTCGGTAGTTGTTTCTTTTTTATCGTAGCTCTGATTAGAGTGTTTTTCGTGTCTGTGTGCTCGTAGCAATGTGTAGATTAGCTTTCAAACCTTTTTATTGATTGGTGTACTGTTCTAATTTAGTCATATTTGTCTGTTATGCATGTGTGTTCGGATGCTTGTGTGGTGCTTTATGATATTGTCTAGTCGGTGAGCTTTACGTGATGATCAAGAAGGAGTTCCTTTGAAGCTTTAGACTAGAAGATGGATCTAAGTTTAAGGCAAGTATAGCATGGGACCATCTTTGTTTTCCTATCAACTTTAATACACTTAATTCATATGAATGTGTCTCCTTGGTATAATTAAGCATTTCCTAGAACTGAACTTATACCTGTCACATATGGGATATGCATTGGGTAGCTATGCTATTGCTCAATGGAACCATGATCGTGTAACTTGACTAATGGTATATGTAATAAACTCTAAAAGATGACTTTTTAGCAACTTTATAAAAGGGGGTTGGAGTATTTAACTACTTTCCAGATGCTCTAGATTCCTCTCCTTAAGGACTTATCTGTAAGTGATCATCCATGACTTATAGTACCACTGTGAGGGCCACATGGCTCTGGCTTTAGTCAAGTATAAGGACCTTTTCTAGCTTGTTAGTGGTTACCTTCATGGCGCAAAAGGGGCTTGCCGAATCGGGTATAGTGCGGCCTCTGTCTATATGTGTATTGCCTGCCCAGAATGTGCCATCTAGAAGGAGAGCTCTACATCTGTTTGCCAATTGAAATCCTAGCGGCCCTAACTTGTTAGACAAACCATTGAAAGGCTTCATAGTGTACCCTGCCTGCTCACCTTGGGAGTGTTTTGGGGACTTGCAAACCCCAAGCAAATGGGAATCACGACTCACAGTGAAAGTGTACAACCTCTGCAGAGTGTAAAACTGTTATAACAGTCGTGCTCACGGTCATGAGCGGTCTTGGAACCCTTATGGAATAGATGATCACTATTAATTATTTGTTTTTGCTATACATTATTCATGTTTACATTGATCATGTGTTTATATTGGGTTTATGACAACTTGTTGCTACTCATATGCTAAAATTGTGACAACTAAAAGCTAAATGCAGTCAAATCTGTGTCAAGCTTTTGAGCCTCATGAACCCCATATTATATTTATTGACTATGACATGTACTTATTCTTACTTTACTTTTCAATACTTTGGAAAATCCTGGATGGGTACTAGATTGCTAGAGTCTGGAGGAGTTAGGCTTGTGATCAACCAGTAAGTTGTCCATGTGGTGTTGGTGACTACACCCGAAGATCGAAGTTGTCCTACCGCTGCTTGCAGTCTAAGGTTATATCCTTTAAACAAAGTACGTTATATATTAGGCATTATGATATTACCCTTATTTATAGCTATATGTGAGATTTGACTTCCTGAGCTCACATATGGTGTGTATCTGGTTTTATCCTTAAAATCGGGTGCTACAGTCCGCTGCTGTCCTCAACCTCCACGCACTAGCCATCACTGTGCAGAACATCCATTCCCTTGTCCCGATCATCCTCAACCTCAAGATTAGCGGCTACAACCATTAGCATGAGGCCTTTCTCCTCATAGTAGGCAAGTTCTCACTCGAGAGACATGCCGCTACTCTTGATCACCCCACTAGGCTCGCATGGACAATGTTGTCTGTTCATTGCTCCTCAACACCATCGCCAACGATCTTGTCGAGACTGTCATGGAATGCAGTGCTACTACTCGTGCATCCTAGCCTACCATCGAAACTCAGTTCCTTGGCAACCAGGAGAGACTCAAGTTCTCTACCTTGACACCGAGTTTCACAACTTCATAAAGGGG